TCGCCATGCCGTGGCTACGTTTAGTGTCGAAGGTAGATGCCGATTGCATGATTCACAAATTATGGAAAGTTTTTCACCACGCAACCTGTTGCCTGTCCCACGCCACAGACTGTCAGCGAGTACCGTTTGGATGGATCCACCTAGCCATGGCGCTTACGAAGATGCTGAAGAAATTCCTTCTATGATTTCTTCATGTAGTCCACCGATCGTTTTCATGGCGAACCAACATAGTTCTGATATCTATGAAGACGCTAAAGTGAATCTACCAGGAACCTCGACTATGTCCTTCCTTTCCCCCGTCGATCTCCATGATAGGGCTAAGGAAGAATTCAATCAGCTTGACGCTGTAAGTCGCAGTTCAAGAAACACTTGCACTAATCATCCAAGAGATATATCTAGCCCAAATTGTATCTGCCTGCAGGTTGTCGCCCGAATGTACGAAAAGATGAGAAAATCCTTGAAAAACGACGAGCCAGAGCGCATACAAATCATGAGAGAGGCGATCGAAAAGAAGATAGAAGAAGTCTATTCATGCGACTCAAACGTTACTTTGATCAGAAGAGCCAGCATGCAAAAAGAGGGGAGAAAACCAAAAGCAGCTCCGATCCAACCCTTCAAGACGGTAGGTCATGATTTTTTTTTGAGGAAATTCAATCATTGTGAGCAATTCACAGAAGAAGGATTTTATGTGAGAAGAACGATTAAACCTGCAATTCTATAACCATAAGCCTCACCTTCTGCTGTCAAAAGGGCTTTTCACCTGTTTCGTAATACACATGATAGCAACCTCTTCCTAAGAGCTCATTATGAAATCTGCTATTTCAGCACCTGTGTACTGTTTTGGTGCCACATCTTTTCTGCAAACGGTTTCCTTTTTCTTTTTACCTTTTCCGGTAAAGTTCTGTCCAAAAATGGTAGAAGCTGGCTACAATGCGGTGAGTCTCTATTTTTGTATTTTTTTTGTCTTGTAAGATAAAATCTCCTTCAGAAAATTCTTAGGATTGCGGTACTATACTTACTCTCACTAACTGGGTACTTCAGGCTCTTCAAAATCTGTTTTCATGACTGCGAGTTTGTTTTGCAAGGCAAGTAAACGTAATTTGTAGTTACGCCCGCAGATTTGCAATGATCTTCTAGTAGCAGAATGATGTTATCTGTGTCAGTCCAGAACATTTTGTCAACAACGTCGGTCCACTTGTTCAAATTTGGATGATCGGTTTTCTACCGGTATTAATTCGGGTTGCATATAGCTAAATTTCTAATGAGGTTGCATTTTTTGTTAGCCTTTCAAAGGTTCCATAAATGCTTTACAGGATGGTCATTGCTCCGTCTTCTTTCTCTGGCTACAGTCGTAAACAAACGACTACTTGTTTGGTTGGCAGGTAGTAAGCATGGTGTATGCCATTCACCAAGCTGTCTGAATACCAAACACTTTCTTGTCTGTTGTCGCTCAGATGGAAGCGGTGCCGCTGATTCGTCCTTCCACAGAACCGATCTCTTCTGTAAGTCTTCACAAAATCGTTCTACTATCAATACAATAATCTTCGCAATGTCTTTGAATGGTACAGTCAAGATTTTCTAACACAACAACATTCGTTGCTGCTCGTGCTTCTATCGGTAAACTGAAGATCCCATTTATGCTACCTTTCAAAAGGAGTACCATGTGTGCAAGTTACAATCGATTGTTTTTACTGCAGACAAGCTAAATACTCAATTTGCATCGTTTAGGTGCATGTGGATACTCTTACTAAGCTGAGTGTGTCGCTGATTGTATGTGGTGGCGAATTTATGGTGATATAAGGACGAATCGTTCCACAGGGAACATCTTCTAGGTAAAGATCTAAACTGTTTATAACGTAAAGATCTAAGCTGTTTACAACGTTGCTTTTCTCTTTTTATAGACGTTGAAAACTGTACAATTACTCATTCATCAAGACCTATGTTCTACAACTATGTGTCCGCAAGTATCTTTTTTCCACTGCTCCATTTGATATTGATTAGTCGTAGATGACTCTCGTTTTCGTTGATTTGTGATTGATTCTGATTCTTTTTCACTTTGTTGTAGCTTTCATG